TCCTGCGTGGACCCACTGAGAGCCTTCCCAAGGCCCGTCAAAGGCTTGAGCAGGCTATCGAGGCTGCTTCCAAGCCTTCCGCCACTGGGTACCTGATCCTGCCCGACCCAAGAAGCTACAGGTAAGCTCAAGCGTGCAACACTTTCAATGCTGCAGTCATACTAACACCCCATAGGCTCGTTGTCGGACCCGGTGGTGCTACAATCAACGATCTGCGCAAGAAGACCGGCACAAAGATTCAGGTCCCCCGCGACCAAGCCAAGGATGAGGCTATCGAGATTGTCGGTACCAAGGATGGCTGCGAGGAGGCCCGCCAGATGATTCTCGACATCGTTTCCAAGGGTGGCAACAGTGGTCGTAGGGAGCGTGCTTAGGCATTTTTATGATCATTTTGGGGATGCGATGATGACATTTACTATCAAAAGCTTTGGGCATATTTTGGGGTTAAGGTGATTCTGTGGGAGCGATGTTCATTCAATATGGGAGAAGCATCTACTACTCATCTTGGACTACCTAAAAGGGGATATGCTTAGCTGTTGTATACAGAAATAAAGCTTCAAGTTCAAATGTTCTCATTCAAGTGACTACTGCTGCATCCCGTGTTCGCGAAGGATCATCTTCCTTCGCCCTACTGGACCATAAGCTGAAGTATCTGCCTGATGTTTGATAAGTCCGGAAGGGTACCTAGCCTATACTATGACGCTGCTTTCTCTGCCCTTCCCTTTGTCTTGCCATACGCCCCACCAGCCAACTTCCGCATCTCCAACGCCCTCTTATACGGCGGCGCAGTAGGCGGCTGTACAGGATCCAGACTAACCCTATCCTTTGGCAAATGATACGTCGCATCCGAATCATACGCCGACAGATCGCCACAAGCCAGAAACGGAGCTATCCACCGCCGACCACCCTCCTCAACATCATCCTCGTCATCCGTCTCATCCCCCAAATCAATCTCAATCGCACCATCCTCCCTGACCCGGCTCGTAACCTTCTTTTCCGGTTTCGTAGTATCTGACTTTGCCGGCTGCGGCAACACCGTCCCCGCCCCCAACGGCCTGTCCAAACTCGCCATAAACCCCTCAGGCGGACAAAATCCCTCACAAACCACAAACGCCTCAATACTACTCGCCCGACTACTCCTCGGCTTCGCCACTCTCACACGCTCAAACACTATCTTGAGCTGCGCAAACAGCAGATCTACGTCTTTGCCTCTGAAGATCTTGGCTACGAACTTGCCGCCCGGTTTGAGGACGCATAGGGCGAGGTTGAGGGCCGCCCAGAGGAGTTGCGATTGCACGTAGATGTCGAGGTCGTGCAGGCCGGTTACGTCGGGGGCGCCGTCGGAGATTACGAGGTCGACGGGTGAGGAGCGCGTGGGGTGCGTGGGGTCGTAGGTGTCTGGGTCGAGGGCTTTGAGCATGAGGGGGATGGTGGAGGGGTGGGTTATGTCTGCGCGCATGGTTGTTACGCCTTCGAGGGGGGACATGGGTTGTAGGTCGATGGCTACGATGCGGACTCCTTCCCTCGGTGTGAGTTTTGATGTCTCGTCTACCTTTTTTTTCTCTTCTTCCTCTACACCCTCCTCTTCCTTCTCCTTCATCTCCTTTTTCTCCCCACCACCGCCCAAAACATAATCCCGCATATTCTTCTGCTTATCCTGCCATCCCGCTCTCCCAAACTTCTCCCCCTTTATCAGCACGCGCGAGAGAACCTGACTCCAACTTCCTGGCGCGGCGCACAGGTCTACGACGCGCGTTACGCCTTCGAAGAGGTTGAATTCTTCGTCTAGTTGGAGCAGTTTGTAGGCGGAGCGGGCGCGCCAGCCTTCTTCTTTGGCGAGGCGGTAGTAGGCGTCTCGCTTGTCTTTTGAAGATTTGCCCATCTTGATGGGTGTTGTTGACGTCGATTGACGTCGAACTTCTGGTCTTTAGATGTGTCTTTGGTGGGATGTGTATTTCTTGCAATGCGGGTAGGGCTATGCGAAGGCCGTGAGGCTTTGTCTGGATATGCCAACCACGTCTAAATCGAATTTTCTCGCCAAAGTGTTCCCGCTCTTTCTATGTCTTATGCGTATCTCTCATCGTTGCCGATCCAGAAAAGGTCAATTAATGAGTGCGAGTCATTCGCACGTGAAGTGTGGGAAAGCGCAAGTGGGCTAGAACAAAAGTGGGGCGAGCGGACTCCCGAAGGCCGACAAGTTTTCCAAAAAGTTCACGGCGCGCGCATCCAACCCACGACAAACCTCAATCGCACCCACAGCCCACCATGAAGCGCCCTAATCCCGCCCCGAAACAAGCGTCGCATAAGGGTCACAAACCCAAACGTCAAAAACTCGACGACTTCCCCAAACCTCTTCCCCCATCTACGAGACCCAAACGCCGTGTCCAACTCAACGAGCTGGGATGGAAAACTGTGGAGATGCCCGATCGGTTGGAAGATACAGAGGGTTTCTATGGACTAGAAGAGATTGAAGATGTTGAGATTGTGAAGGATCCGGTTACTGGCAATCTTACCTTTGAGACTACAAAGACGGAAGATGAGGTGGCACAGGATGTGGAGGAAGCGTGGCAACGGGAGGAGGACGAGCAAAAACGCTTGGAGCAGATTACCTTTGATGAGGAGAAGGTGGTGGGACAAGATGAGAGCGTAGGAAAGAAACTGCAGGAAGCAGATGAGGAGGTCGCGTGGGAGGGCTTCAGCGATGAGGACGATGCGCCGGTGGGAATTTTGAAGCAGACAAAAGACGTGGATGCCAAGGATACAGCTGGCGCACCCGCTACCAACGGCGAGCCGGAGGTGAAGAAATTGACAAAGACTGAGAAGAAGAAGAGGGCGAAGGAAGCAAAGCTCAAGAGGGAGGCAGAGGAAAAGGCCAAGGCAGAGCTGCCGACACCAGATGAGGTTGAAACAGAGGAGGCCGAGGACGACGAGGACGACGAACCCTCCGATATCGAAGATCGCGAAGACGGCGAGACCTTCGGACCTGGCGCTTGGGATATATTGGCGAACCACGCTGATGACGACGACGACGAGACAGACGTCCGCGCATGGGCTAAACTCGATCTCTCCGAAGAGATGCTGGGTGCGTTGGCGAAGCTGAAATTCTCGAAACCCACCAGTATCCAAGCGTCTACCATACCCGAGATCATGTCTGGCCGGGATGTTATCGGCAAGGCTTCGACAGGTTCAGGAAAGACACTCGCTTTCGGCATCCCAATCGTCGAGACATATCTTGCTGCTCGTTCGACGCCCAAAGAGCCCGAGGACAAGGCGCCCATTGCGCTGATCATTGCGCCGACACGTGAACTTGCGCATCAGATCAATGATCATTTGATCGCCCTTTGCGCGAAGGGCGATTTTGACTCCCCGTACATTGCATCCATCACAGGTGGTCTGTCCGTACAAAAGCAGCGCAGGCAACTGGAAAAGGCTGACATTGTTGTCGGAACACCAGGACGACTGTGGGAAGTCATGAGCAGTGGGTCGGGGGTACTATCGAAGTTCAAGCAGATCAAGTTCTTGGTCGTAGATGAGGCTGATCGTCTGTTGAGCCAAGGACACTTCAAAGAAATGGCAGAGATTCTCAAAGTCCTAGAGCCCGATGATGAGCCTAACGAGAAAGACAATATTGAGGAAGCGCCAGAATCTCAACGGCAAACTCTGGTGTTCTCTGCCACGTTCGGAAAGGAACTGCAGCACAAGCTCGCTGGGAAGCAGAAGTATGGTGGTGGGGATCTGATGAACCAACAACAGTCGATGGAGTACCTGCTCAAGAAACTTAAGTTCCGCGAGGAGAAGCCAATGTTCATCGATGCCAACCCGACTTCGCAGATGGCCAGCAGATTGCAAGAAGGACTCATCGAATGCGCCGGACCCGAGAAGGATCTTTATCTGTATTCGCTGCTCATGCTCTACACCAAGAAGCGCGCTCTCGTCTTTACCAACTCAATCTCGGCAGTACGCCGCATAACGCCGTTCCTGACGAATCTGGCGCTCCCAGCTCTACCCCTACACTCCAACATGCCCCAGAAAGCCCGATTACGTTCCATCGAACGATTCAAAGAACGACCAGGATCAATCCTCGTAGCCACAGACGTCGCCGCCAGAGGTCTCGACATACCCAAGATAGACCTAGTAATCCACTACCACCTCCCTCGTGCCGCCGACACCTACGTCCACCGCTCGGGACGTACCGCCCGCGCCGACGCATCCGGAGCCAGCATCCTCATCTGCGCTCCCGAAGAAGTCGGCGGCGTTCGGCGCCTCGTCGCCAAAGTGCACGCCCGCGCCAGCGACGCCCCCAAATCAAAGAAAACCGCCTTCTTCATCCGCACCCTAGATATCGACCGCCGCATCGTCTCCCGCTTGAAGCCCCGCGCTACCATCTCCAAACGCCTCGCCGACACCGTCATCGCGAAAGAAAAGAAACACAGCGAAGACGATGTACTCCGCCGCGCAGCTGAGGATCTAGGCGTAGACTACGACAGCGAGGAGTTCGAGAAGGAAGCGCCTGGCAAGAGGGGCCGCGGTAGTGGACGCAAGAAGAAGGAGAAGGAGGCGAGTGAGATGACGAAGGGAGAGATGCAGGCTCTTAGAGCGGAGCTTAAGCATTTGCTTAGTCAGAGGATTAATACGGGGGTTAGTGCGAGGTATCTTACTAGTGGCGGTATTGATGTTGATGCGCTTATGGCTGGGGAGGGGAACATGGAGTTTTTGGGTAATTTGGATGGGCTGGGGTTTGATGAGGTTGTTGAGTAGTTTGGTTGATAGGTGGAGGGTACATATCTGCACGCATAGTCCACCGCTCGGGTCTACGATCTTCTGGACTTTGTTTGGCTTTCGTCCCAACAAACTAAGCGATTGCGAAAGACAAATTGGGACTGCCTTTGTGAGGTTGTAACGCGCAAACATACTACCCCTATATTATTGCCGTCGTTCTGCGACTCCTCGTGGCTAATCATACAGAGCGACCTGTCTTCTTGATGTCTTCAAACGCAACTATGAACCCGGAGGATCAGACTCAGCCAAGCGTCGATGACACGGCGACCAGAGACGAGTCCTCCATCACGAAGCCTGACGTCTCAACAACCACGGAAGAACCTCTACAGCCCCAGCCTGCTAGTCACATCTCGTTTGAGTACCTCCAGAGTATTCTCGTGCAGTTTACGATCTGGGCACCCGTCATCTACTTCTTGCTCCATTTCCGCGCCAACCTCTTCACCAGCGATGTTCTCACCAACGCTCGGGCTTCTGAATCTCTACTACTAACTACGATTATCACTGTCCGCACCATCACAACCGAGTACATGCGAAGAACCATCGACGCGCAGACGAAGACTCTGAAAGGAAATGCGGATACGGTGAGGGGATTACAAGACGAGAACAAGGCGTTATCAGAAGAGCTTTCTACTTGTCTCCAGGGCAGAGAAGACGCGTATGATTCGCATAGGCAACGCATCAACGAAGCCCGTCTTAGACACTACACATCCCTCCACAAGCACCAAAGCAGCACCATCAGTTATCTAGAACATCTATCCAGAACCCACACCAAGGTCTCCGAGTCTCCCGCGCTAAATATCCCGTTCGATAAGCTCTACATGATGCGATCAAGAACACAAATGCGACTGAACATAGCTGAGAGTATCGAGAAGATCCTGTACTCAAAAACATTACGCGCATTGAAAGACGAGGGAGCTGATGGCTTTATCCGCGAGGCAGAAAATGATCTGGAGAAGGCGGCGGTGGTAGATGGGTATTTGTTGCATCTGGAAGATCTGGCGAAAAATCCTGCTGCTCCTGCTAGGGTCGATTCTGGGTTGGAAGTGAGGTTGAATGGGCATAGGGAGAGGCTGGAGAGGTATTGTGAGGGGGATTGGAGGGTTAGGAATCATTTGAGGAAGGTAGATAGGGAGGAGGAGCAAGAGTAGGTAGAGGATTAGGACCAAAGTAGATGTGATGCACGCGTAGGTAGAGGAGCGTCGGGATGTCATATGTGTGAGAGCGTTTTGTACACTTCACTTGTCGCAACACCTGCCCTCCGTGAAGTCGCGTATCCGCAAGAAAAGACTTCCCTCGATACAATTTTATCAGTGAACGCCCAGTAGCAATTATTCGAAATGTGATGACGTTATCTTTCCCGCAAGTTCAGACTACGAGGGGTAAGGTAATGTGGTTGCCTGATTGCTAGGTGGAAACGTCCACAACAAATAGCAAATGACGTAGTATAATCCATCACACCCCGTCGTCTATATGAGAAGCTCTTTCGTCAAACCAGTATCTTCCTGAACAAGACTACCAGAACACGAGTCATCCCAAGCAAAGATAGCGATGGAAATCAGCGCTGAGCCTGTCACTACCCAACGTCCAACTCCAAACATGGCGACCATGGAGCCCAACATCGACAAGGACAAGCTCCCTTCTGAAGCGGAATCTGATGGGACGCGCCAGGGACCCAGCACTGTCGACATGGACGAGCTCAACCGAATCTTGCGCAAATCCGTCGACGAGCCGCCACGTGCTCGACACCAGTTCTCACCAGGCACGGCTGTTCTACTTATCTTCTACACAGTGATACATATCGCGTTCATCCAGCCCGTATCTTTGATCCTAGGTCGCCAGTTCCTCGTCCCCATCGTCTTCATGCTCCTCATCAAGCTCACCGCCACAACCTATCTGGAAGAGGTGGTAGAAATGTACGACAAGTACATTGATCAAATCAAGGACTTGGCAAGCCTTTCGCTCGAACTGGCACATAAGTATGAAGAAGCGGCGCAAGAGAACGGGGAAGCGTTCCGCATGTTTCACCAAGGAACAAATGAGATGCGGCTAAGATACTATCAAGCCTACTTGGATCACTACCAGACCCTCATCGATTACATTGAACCCATCGCCAAAAAGGTCAAAACCATAGCTGCGCCGCCTAAAGTCAAGGGCGCAAGAAGGAATGGCTGCAATCGCAACAAGAACGATAACAACGCTCTTGCTGATACCCTAGAGGACTTCGCTGCAGCACTCAAGCAGAGACAGACCACGACCAGGCTACAGATTGCAGTAGCGGAGAAGATCAAGGACATACTCGATCGCGAGGGCTTGTTACCGGAGGAGATTGATCAACTAGTGGATGAGGCGGGAGAGGATCTGGAGCGTGCGCAGGAAGCTTCGAATACTCAGACTCGATCATCCGGTTCTTGTACCTCCAGCTCTATCGCATTGCCATCACCGGTCGTTGAGAGCGTTGATAGCAAGCTGGAGAAGCATTTCGAGGACTTGGATAGGTGGTTCCAGAGTGTGCGGGATCGGCCTGTTGTCGCAGATGAGTAGCTGAAGAGAAAGACATCGCGGGGAAGATCGTGGTTGCCATGGAATCGATCATGCTGCATGGAAAGTGGATGAGGATGATGAATGAGGAGCACACCGATCCTAAGTGTGTTCCCCAGCGCTTATCCCAAACGTACTCCTAGTGAGGAAAACGTGACATGTATCCCTTCTTACCTCTTCCCACGGCTGCGTGACAGGAGTTCGCGATTGACGTTGTGTGATGTATGCGTGACTGGCCGTATCCCGAGACGATGCGCGAGCGGGTGCTTTTGACGTCTTAGTAATCGATGACGTAAGCACGCCCGCGCTCACCTTCAGGTGCGCTCCAAGCTATGGCAATCAAACCGTAACATCCTTTTCACCAGATCTCTCCCGGGTACCTAATCCATCTTCTATAGCGACATGATCGTCTTCGCAGACACGAAAATACGAGTGTAAGGGAAGCAAAAATGACGTTAACTCGATATCCCGCCGCCAAATTCGCGACTGCGACGCATCACGCCCGGTGAATCATCAGAAGCTGATGAAAAGCCAACCTTCGATCAGGCAATACAGCCTTGCTTTCTGCATGACAACAACAATATCTGGCACCGTGCGGTAATGCAAACGATGGTCTAGACTGCATCTCGACCGCCACCTTCTCAGCTGCGCTCAGCCTTGTAGGATTAGGAACGCCATGAGGAACATCTGACTTTTGCACAGCCTGACGACCACTTTGATCTAGCCATCCTTCATGGCAAGCAAACTTTATGTTTCTGGCTTTTTGCTGCATCTTGCGTTCCAGATAGGCGGCGTTCACAGTTCATTGCTTCGGTGGTTCATGCCAGCAAGAGCTCGATCCGCACCAGAGGTCGGCAGGCGTTCTTGAAAATGATGTCAAGGTAGGATTATACATTGTAGTAATGGCTGATCACTTATTAAGGCTCAAATGTATGTATACGACAAGAGTTCTCGCCACCTCTGGTGTCCGTCAGTCACGAGTTTGTTCAGCCTTGTGTGCTCGCCACACGAAGCTGGGTTGGCACCCTTTCCTTGTTCGTTGAAAATACACCAATCACCCTCCGATGACTTGCATTCGCATATATTACGCATAAGCCAAAGGCTTGTATATTCAGCCTGATGTACGCTTACCTCGTGTACTTAATGAACCCTTTCGGCTCTTTCATCGAAGCTTTCTTACCTCGCACACATCGTCGCATCGACCGGACATACTGCGATGGCGGCAGTAGATCATCTTCCATGGCGGTACGATCACTGGAAAATACGTCCAGAAAAGTTGGTTCCGCAGGACAAACATCTCATACTCTCAATGTGTGAGACCAGCGTAAGTGCACATACAGCCAAATGACTTTGACGCAGCTGACGGTATATAGGAAGGCGTCAAATTCAGCGAGAAGTCAGTACGCGACAGTAACATACCAGCGCTGTGTGCGGAAACGGCCGGATCGAGTCCGGGTACGAAATGGTCTCTGGAACTGTCAGTATTACAGACTTCCAATTGAGGCTTTTTCTGAACCCCCAGAAGCCTCATGACTGTCATTCCAAATATCGATTCTGGGCCGAACGTTGTCCCGTATTCACTGGATGCTATTCAAGCTCTGCGCGCATACTGGCAACTCCCATACACCTACGTTCCTACATTGGGAAGTGGTCCAAACGTATCGATGGCCTTTTCTCCTCTGCTGGATGATGAGCATTGGAAAGGTGAGTTGGCTCTGATGAGTTTCCAATCGCAACGTGTTGAACCTGCCGGCCAAGCGCTTCACTTGTAGCTTATCCATGCTTACCGAAATTCTCAGGTTTTGTCCATAATCTCTTCGGCGAAAGCAGGACTACAATCATGCATCATATCCCAACACGACGGACCTTCGGGGTGTGCCTCGTGGAAGAAAATGACGTTGCTCGTTTTACGGGAGAACTTCGACACGCCCAGAGCTTTGGGTCAAACCCACTTCTATTCCCAATTGTTATACTCTGTATGAGCTTAACTGCCTTGCGGTCAATACAAGAAGAAACCTCCGAGGAGTGTACAGAGCTAGAAGAGACCATGGGCCTGAACGATGAGAATCATGAGGTTGCATTCAATCAAATGGCAAACTTCACACGGATACCTCAACGCTTAAACGTATTGTCGGCTCAATTAGCAAACATTCAGTGGTACTGCTCGGCTTATGTCGAGGCACTCAATTCTTTAGAGGATCAGCTCCAAGCCCTACCTGATGGATATGGCACTAGTGTCTTCACCGAACTTCATGAGCAGATGACGTATTCCCGATCGTGCTTAGAACATATTGGCTTCATAACGAAACGAGACAATATAATTGTCCAGTCTATGATACAAACGGTACGCATTTCTCTTGCGACATCTGTTGAAAACCTATGCTTATGACTGCAGGTTCACGTAAATCTTCAGCAGAGAGACAACCAACTCAACCACCGGTATGGCGCCGATATGCGACTGATCACGGCAATCACTCTCGTCTTCCTGCCCGGAACCTTTGTCGCAACTTTCTTCAGTACTACGTTTTGGGACTTTTCTCCCGACAATAAAGGCACGAAGGTGACATACTGGGTGTATCTGTACTTCGTGGTCACGATAGGTCTGACCCTGCTGGTGCTCGTTGTATGGAGGAAATTCACTGCGCTTAAGCGACTGAAATTGGGCATGTTACAATTTGGGCGCCGGATCCCTATGTTAGGAAGGCTGATGCGCGAGAAGAAGGTGGATGACGAAGAGTCGGGAAAGAAAGGTGACTGAGGCATATCTCATATGATTTTTGGTTAGATTGTTCTAGCCCATATAGCTGAATAAGCATGCGTTGAATGATGATGATCATGTTGTTCCGAGATAGAGCGGATGAGGCCAATTTCAACCGTGGTACAGTCATCTCGCTAGTCCAGTGTTGTTTGCCCGAGCAAAAGTCGTCTCGCTCAACTTCTCACTGCACTCCACACACAACGAAACAAACTAACGAGAATCTACCGCTATCAGCTCAACAAGATGAACTCTGTATCACCGGAAAGGATCAAGTTGAAGTTGCTGCTACATACTGCAGTGGACCACGTAAAAGCGCAGGGTGTTGGTATCGGCATCTTACAGCAGGCCAGATGTGCAAAAACGGGGGCCTTGATGCCAGGACTACTGCCTACCGAAGAGCGTAGATACGGCATTACGCGCGCAAACTTTTCGACCGAAAACGTCAAGACACGCGAAAGAGCTGAGCTACTTGCTATGTTACACGCTCTCGGCCTGGCCTCCAGCACGATCAAAAAACGATGTCCGCCAGATGTCCAACTGCGGACTATACAGATCTTTTGCGAACATCCGTCGGTTATATATACTGTCAAACACCACCTTCGGTATTCTCCAGCGAGCCTCGAAGACGAAGTGAGTGGAAACGACCGCGCCATGATCAAGAGAGTTATCCAAGCCATTCAAAAACTCGAGAGAAGATCTTTTGAGGTCGTCTTAACAATCGCAAACATGGAAGACGACGCGCAAAAGAAGGTACGCTTGGCAGCAAGGCAACGAGGCAGTTTCGCGTGTAGACAACGCCGCCAATTGCAGCACGCTCGGGGAAGAGCATCAACAGCAGTGCGCCGCACCTTGGAGAACGAAAACTCTACAGAAGCGCTCGTAGAGGGGATTCAGGAGCTCAAACTAGCCCATTAGCCACGTTATCACCAGACATCGTCATCCGTATCACCGGCGTCAAGCGCCTCGATGGTAGTCCCTCCTTCAACGAACACTTCATCTTGATCCATCAACCTCATTTCCTCATCCAACACGGCCCTCCTGTGTCGCCACTCCCGGAACAGTCTCCGACCGCACAGCTTCCACATTATGTTCGTAAGTGAGGTGAGTACGCCGAAGAGGAGGAAGCTCGCCACTGCATTTTCGAGATACCACATGGCGTATGCAACGCATGCGACGATCGATAAGAAGATCGACGTGTATAAGATGATCTTGAGAGAATAAATCGAGAGACCCTCGATCTCGGCATCATCGATCGTGGAGATGGGTGTTGCGCTAGGTGGAGAGAGCGGTATTTCGCTGTCGACATTCGGTGAGATAACCTCTTTAGAAGAGGTTGTGGGTAAGCCTCGAGTCGGGAAGTGTGTTTGCGTGGTCATTGTCTGTTGCCGATGGATGCAAGATCGAGTAGGGTTCAAAAAAGACTGCTTGGAAGACCGGGTGTTGCGCAACACAAATTGCAAAGGCGATCGAGCAAGATTTCATCGAAGATATACGTACATCCCAGTCATCTTTTTCAAGAAGACACGTTGTCATGAGTGCCTCGAAATGGGGCCGTCTCACGTACATCCGTCCCATGTTGCCACCACGCCGCAGTCAACATCATTGCACCACCGCATACGATTTGCCACAGAAGGAAAGCGACATACCATCTCCAACCGCATCCCTGTTTCTTCGCCATCTCAAGCCCTGTCCACCATCTCCAATTGAATCCCCGATTCTTCGCCAACTCAACTCCCCTGTCTGTATCTCTGCGTACCGCATAAAAGTCCACCTTTTCGTCCGATAAGTCACTCCTCTTCCTCAAACCAACTTCTGCCTCGTCATCCCCCATTGTTCTTCTCACCCTCCACTTGTCCTTCACCATCTTCTTCCATAGCAAGTCTAGAATAACCCCCGCGATTGCAAACAAAAGTGGATGATAGAGACGACGGACAACTTCGTGTGGTTGGAGAGACCGGAAAATGTGCAGTATAATGCATCTGAGGAACATGTCGTAGACCATAAACCCGAACGTGCGGAAGGACAGTGGCTGATCTTCGTAGCGAAAGCGATCAAGGTCGTCCCACCATTTCCGAAGACCTGGTGGAAGGGCCAATTGAAGTTTGGTTCGTGGTGGATGGGAATCCGGCTGTTTCTCGCTGTAAGCCGAGGGCTGTGGCAAGAAGTGTTCTTTTTGCGAAAACATATTGTTGTGATCGTGATCCAATGCTGACAAGAAAGTGAGGAGATGGTCTCGTACAGGAAATGCAGCAAGGGAAGTTGTGTTTGGAATACATGAGTAGAGGGAGGCGGTGTTCATGCGCGATGCGGCACAGTAGCGTACAAGGTACGCGCTAGGGAATCTGCCTTGCTGCGCCACTTGATGTCTCATCTCAGCGAAAGATTCTTGGCAGCATATGCAACCCGAACCAAAAACGATTACCTGGTTTAAGTGGCGTCAAGATATATGAAGGCATCAGTACCACCTTATACAAGGGAAAAGCTGAACACCGTGGAGCCTATAATACTATTAGGCTGCCTAATTTGCATGCTTTCATCTTAATATAGGCTCCAAAGTGTTTAGTTTTTCTCATGTATGAGGTGGTACATAAGCCAAACATCGAATCAATGAGCATGTACCGTGCCACAAGCACCACTGTCTCAACACCTTCTCATTTCCTCAATCCAAATTCCTCCCCATCCTTACATCCGACAGCATGGAGATGCAACCCATCCTCAAGAATCTCGTCAGCATCCAACAAACCAATGACAGCCTCGTCATCTGCAATCGTCCTGTTCATTCTATAACGCCTGTATCTTCTCCAAAGAGTAGCAGCCGTGTACACCCACCACGGGAGAAAGAAAAAGGCAAGGACGGGGCTCCAGTGTACGGAGGGAATGACCCAAGGGAGTATGAAGAAGTAGGTGATCCAAGCGAATGGGATGCCAGTGAGGCACATGAGCATGCCTGTCGTGTTGCGTATGTTCCAGAAAGTGCGTGGTCTGTTGCGACGAACCCGAGGATGCTGTGGTTTATTGGTTGTTTTGCTAGGAGACGGAGGACGCAGTATAGTGCATGGCGACTGTGATGGTGGATGTGATTCTGAGTTTGGCGTTTGTGTTGGTAATGATTCCCGTGGTAGCGTTATCAGAGGCTTCTTCTCGTAGCTCGCAGATGTGGCCATTGGGATGGACTTGATATGCGCCCTCGTGCTGGATTTTGTGGGAATTGAGCGCACAAAAGAGGTTCATGATCGTTTAGTACATGGAGGTGCGGCTGCGTTGCCATCTTGTCGGGTCGCATGCGGCACAGCGGATGAAGAGTCTGCCTCGCTGCGCCGTAAGAGTTGGGGGCCGGAACTCACACTGCAATCCGATCACAGACTGACCGATCAACGAGGGGCGGAACCGTGTCTTGGTATTGCTGTTATCTGCAGTGTACGTCATCCGTTTCGTCCTGCTTGCTCCGCTACATGCGCTTTCTTCCACCTTTCGTACCCTTGCCTTATACCTGCTCTTTTAAGTTCATCCACCACATATTCTTCATCATCTCCATCGGCTTTGTTATCTTTCACATCGACCTCCCAACCACTCTTCTCCCCTCTCGCAATCACCCTTTTTACCCACATCCGCACCACCCATCTGGTGATCACCAATCCCAACCCACCGACACCAATTATGAAAGGTATCAACTGCCCAACACTCGTCCACAGACCACTCAAACCACTCACGTGATTCCAATGCAGTGTCAACTCGAGCTGCAGGATGACGATGACGTGGATAAGCAGATCGAGGATGGTGTAGTACCACCCTAGCCAGATCTTCTTTGGCGTTGCAGGGTTGGTAAGCAGGAGTGATGAAGCCAGTGATACGGAAGTCCACGGTTGTATGACATCCGGGGTTGAAGGAGCGGAAGTATATGTGATAGCGGCGTATGTCTGAAACGGTCCGTTAAGTGGATCGAGAAGATGGGCTTGGCGTAGATGCGAGTAGATGACGAAAGCCTGGGGTGGGAAACGACATGTCAGAAAGGCTATGTAGCTGTGTAGTTGGCAGTGAAACCATGATGGCGGTGCTTGTCTCTCAGTAGTTGCGTTGCGGTACTTCTTCGGAAAAAGTATCGATCGTGCGATGACTGGGAAGGTGAGAGGTTTGCCGTCAGTGCTCATCTGATATGGGCTCGCTGCGACGCAGTGTTTGATATACAATTCGCTTTCGTAGACTTCTTGGATGATGGAGAGGTCCGGCAAAGGTTGAGAGATGCTTGCGTTGGTGCGAGAAGACGATAGCGAAGTCGGTGTGGTAGGAGAAGGAACCTCCTGAACAGTGATGCGGGATGATCGATTGGAGTGTCCCTGGTGAATGATGCGAGAAAAGTATCTCCACTCTGCAGTTCTTTGCGCCAGGGGATCTGAACGCGTGCGAACCAAGTTGAGTGGGCGGGCGGGCCCAAAATCGACTCTCGCTGGTAGACAGCGTGAGCATAGAGCTTGAGTACATGCTTCGTGAGATGCTCCATGCTTTGAGGTATCCTCCGTGTCCTTCTCTTCAACAGCCTCTTCGTTAAGGTTTTGTCCCCGAGACTCCTCCCAAGACCTAACCGCCTCGACGAACTGCCTTCTCTTTTCGCTGACCTTCCAAGCAGTCCACGGTTTCAGAAACCCCAGAACCATCCAATAAATCGTGCAAAGCAGAACGAACAGACTCATAGCCATCATCACCTTCCTCGCCCAGCCAAACAGATCCGTCTTGACCACATACATCATCAACCACGTACCACACGGCGTCTCCTTCATATGGTCCAACCCTGCCCACCAGAACCACACATGGAGACAGATATTCACTAGATTGACAATCTCGCACACTACTCTCCTCAGGAAGCTGCCGCGCGAGAAGGTCGCTTCGCTGTATGACGACTTGGCGCGCACACCCGTTATGCAACTCCATGCCAGTATTTGTAGCAAAACGAATGCCTCTACGGCATACACATCGGCCGGATTAGAAGCGTAAATTAACGTGAC